CTACACCGCTACACCCATATATACCTACACCCATACACCCTTATATACCTACAGCCCTACACCCATATATACCTACACCCATATATACCTACACCCGTGCACCCATATATACCTACACCCATATATACCTACACCCCTACACCCGTACACCCATATATACCTACACCCATATACACATATATACCTTCAACCCTGCACCCATATATACCTACAACCGTACACCCATATATACCTACACACCTGCACCCATATATACCTACAACCATACACCCATATATACCTACACCCATGCACCCATATATACCTACACCCATACACCCATATATACCTACACCCCTACGCCCATATATACCTACACACCTACACCCATATATACCTACACACCAACAACCATATATATCTACACCCATGCACCCATATATACTTACACCCATACACCCATATATACCTATAAACATACACCCATATATACCTACACCGCTACACCCATATATATCTACACCCATATATACCTACACCCATGCACCCATATATACCTACACCCCTACACCCATATATACCTACACCCATGCACCCATATATACCTACACCCCTACACCCATATATACCTACACCCATGCACCCATATATACCTATAGCCATACACCCATATATACCTACACCGCTACACCCATATATACCTACACCTATACACCCATATATACCTACACCGCTACACCCATATATACCTACACCCATGCACCCATATATACCTACACCCATGCTCCCATATATACCTACACCTATACACCCATATATACCTACACCGCTACACCCATATATACCTACACCCGTGCACCCATATATACCTACACCCATACACCCATATATACCTACACCGGTACACCCATATATACATACACCCATACACCCTTATATACGTACAGCCATGCACCCATATATACATACACCCATACACCCATATACACATCTGTCCATACACCCGTACATCCATGCCCACATACACACCCGTACATCCATATACCCATAGACACATACACCTGCACTCCCTTAGACCCAGAGATCCATAGACCCGTACACCCATGCTGCCATACACCCGTACACCTATACACCCATGCACACATACACCCGTAAACCCATATACACTTACACCCATACACCCATATACCCATGCACCCATATAGCCCTGCACTCACAGAGGAATACACTCGTATACCCATATACCCATGCAGCCATATACCTGTACACCCATGCACCCATACAGCCATACACCCATACATCCATATTCATATACACCCATACACCCATCCACACATACATCCATACACCTGTACACCCATATACCCATACACCTGTTCACCTGTACACCTACACAGCCGTATACCCACACATCTGTATACCCATACACCTGTACACCTGTACACCCATGGAGCCATACACTTATCCATCCATATACCCATACACTCATACAGCCATACGTCCGTTCACCCGTACACCCCTATACCCATACACCCATGCACCCATATACCCATACATCCATATATACATACACCCATACAGCCATATACCCGTTCACCCATATACACTTGCACCCATGTACCTACCCATACACCTATTATCCTATATACCCCCCATACACCTACATACCTGTACCCCCATACACCCATAATCCCATACACATGCACACCCATACACCTGTATACCCATACAGCCATATCCCAATAAACCCATGCGCCCATAGATCTGTACACCTGTACACCCATATACACCCATGCACCCATACACACATATACCCATACAGCCATGCACCTGTATACCCATACACCTATATAGCCATATAGCCATACACTTACCCATATACCTATATACCCATACACCCATGCAGCTGTATACCCATACACCCATAAACCAATACACCCGTACACCCATATACCTATATACCCATACACCCATACACCCATATATACCCATACACCCATACACCCATGCACCCATGCACCCATATATGCATATACCCATACAGCCATGCAGCCCCACACCTGTATACTCATACACCCATACACTTATGCACCCATATATGCATTCACCCATATATACATATACCCCTATACACCCCTATCCATCCTTATCCATCCCTATCCACCCATATCCATTCCTGTATCCCTATACACCCCTAAGCATCCCTATCCATTCCTATACACCCCTATCCATCCCTGTATCCTTATAAACCCCTATCCATCCCTATCCACCCCTATCCATCCCTGTATCCCTATACACCCCTAAGCGTCCCTATCCATTCCTATACACTCCTATCCACCCCTGTATCCCTGTACACCCCTAAGCATCCCTATCCATCCCTATACACCGCTATCCATCCCTGTATCCTTATACAACCCTATCCATGCCTATATATCCCTATCCATCCCTGTATCCGTATACACCCCTATCCACCCCTGTCCATCCCTATACACCCCTATCCATCCCTATATACCCTATCCATCCCTATCCACCCCTATCCATCCCTGTAACCCTATACACCCCCAAGCATCCCTATCCATCCCTATACACCCCTATCTATCCCTGTATCCCTATACACCCCTATCCATGCCTATACATCCCTATCCACCCCTATACACCCTATACACCCCTATCCATCCCTATCCATCCCTATACACCCTATCCATCCCTATACACCCCTATCCATCCCTATACACCCTATCCATCCCTATACACCCCTATCCATCCCTATACACCCCTATCCATCCCTATCCATCCCTATCCACCCTATCCATCCCTATCCACCCCTATACACCCTATCCACCCCTATCCATCCCTATACACACTATCCACCTGTATCCACCCCTATCCATCCCTATACACCCCTATCCATCCCTATCCATCCCTATACACCCTATCCATCCCTATCCATCCCTATACACCCTATCCACCTGTATCCACCCCTATACACCCTATACACCCTATACACCCCTATCCATCCCTCTCCATCCCTGTATCCCTGTGCAGGGTTCGCGTTCCCGGACTGGGCGTACAAGGCGGAGTCGAGCCCCGGCTCCCAGCAGATCCAGCTCTGGCACTGCCTATGTCCATACATCCATATACACCCTATACACCCTATACACCCTATACACCCCTATACACCCTATACACCCTATACACCCCTATACACCCTATACACCCTATACACCCTATACACCCTATACACCCTATACACCCCTATACACCCTATACACCCTATACACCCTATACACCCCTATCCATCCCTCTCCATCCCTGTATCCCTGTGCAGGGTTCGCGTTCCCGGACTGGGCGTACAAGGCGGAGTCGAGCCCCGGCTCCCGGCAGATCCAGCTCTGGCACTGCCTATGTCCATACATCCCTATACACCCCTATACACCCTATACACCCTATACACCCCTATACACCCTATACACCCCTATACACCCCTATACACCCCTATACACCCTATACACCCTATACACCCCTATACACCCTATACACCCTATACACCCCTATACACCCCTATCCATCCCTCTCCATCCCTGTATCCCTGTGCAGGGTTCGCGTTCCCGGACTGGGCGTACAAGGCGGAGTCGAGCCCCGGCTCCCGGCAGATCCAGCTCTGGCACTGCCTATGTCCATACATCCCTATACACCCCTATACACCCTATACACCCTATACACCCTATACACCCTATACACCCTATACACCCCTATACACCCTATACACCCCTATACACCCCTATACACCCCTATACACCCTATACACCCCTATACACCCCTATACACCCTATACACCCTATACACCCTATACACCCCTATCCACCCCTATACACCCCTATACACCCTATACACCCTATACACCCCTATCCACCCCTATACACCCTATACACCCTATACACCCTATACACCCCTATACACCCTATACACCCTATCCACCCCTATCCACCCCTATCCACCCCTCTCCATCCCTGTATCCCTGTGCAGGGTTCGCGTTCCCGGACTGGGCGTACAAGGCGGAGTCGAGCCCCGGCTCCCGGCAGATCCAGCTCTGGCACTGCCTATGTCCATACATCCCTATACACCCCTATACACCCTATACACCCCTATACACCCTATACACCCCTATACACCCTATACACCCTATACACCCCTATACACCCCTATCCACCCCTATCCATCCCTCTCCATCCCTGTATCCCTGTGCAGGGTTCGCGTTCCCGGACTGGGCGTACAAGGCGGAGTCGAGCCCCGGCTCCCGGCAGATCCAGCTCTGGCACTGCCTATGTCCATACATCCCTATACACCCCTATACACCCTATACACCCTATACACCCCTATACACCCTATACACCCCTACACACCCTATACACCCCTATACACCCCTATACACCCTATACACCCCTATACACCCTATACACCCCTATACACCCTATACACCCCTATACACCCTATACACCCTATACACCCCTATACACCCTATACACCCTATACACCCCTATACACCCCTATCCATCCCTCTCCATCCCTGTATCCCTGTGCAGGGTTCGCGTTCCCGGACTGGGCGTACAAGGCGGAGTCGAGCCCCGGCTCCCGGCAGATCCAGCTCTGGCACTGCCTATGTCCATACATCCCTATACACCCCTATACACCCTATACACCCTATACACCCTATACACCCTATACACCCTATACACCCTATACACCCTATACACCCCTATACACCCCTATACACCCTATACACCCCTATACACCCCTATACACCCCTATACACCCTATACACCCTATACACCCTATACACCCCTATACACCCCTATACACCCCTATACACCCTATACACCCTATACACCCCTATCCACCCCTATACACCCTATACACCCTATACACCCTATACACCCCTATCCACCCCTATACACCCTATACACCCTATCCACCCCTATCCACCCCTATCCATCCCTCTCCATCCCTGTATCCCTGTGCAGGGTTCGCGTTCCCGGACTGGGCGTACAAGGCGGAGTCGAGCCCCGGCTCCCGGCAGATCCAGCTCTGGCACTTCATCCTGGAGCTGCTGCGGCAGGAGCGGTACCGGGAGCTCATCGCCTGGCAGGGGGACTGCGGGGAATTCGTCATCAAGGACCCGGATGAGGTCGCCCGGCTCTGGGGGGTGCGGAAGTGCAAGCCCCACATGAACTACGACAAGCTCAGCCGCGCGCTCAGGTGGGCGCTATGGGGCGCTATGGGGCGCTATGGGGGGGTGCTCCCATAGGGCAGGCACAAGGGGCATGGGTTCCACATAGGAAGGACTCTATAGAAGCAATCTAGGGCTGCTAGACCCACATCTCCCCATAGAAAGGACCTAGGTGTTTGGGCCCCACATCTCCACATTGAAAGGATATGGAGCTCCCAGTCCCATATCTCCCCATTGAAAGGATATGGAGCTCCCAGCCCTATATCTCCCCAAAGAAAGGATATGGAGCTCCCAGCCCCATTATCTCCCCATTGAAAGGATATGGAGCTCCCAGCCCTATATCTCCCCATAGAAAGGATATGGAGCTCCCAGCCCCATATCTCCCCATTGAAAGGATATGGAGCTCCCAGCCCCATATCTCCCCATTGAAAGGATATGGAGCTCCCAGCCCCACATCTCCCCATCCAAAGGACCCAGCAGTCCCATCCCCATAGGAACAACCTGCCTGCCCCAGACCTTTCTATTCCCATGTACAACAGACACCGGGGATCTCAGCCCCACATCCCTGCCCCATATCCCCCCCTCCGCCCCAGGTACCACTCCCAACAAGCAGCCCCATGCACAAGACCAAGGGGATGCTGTGGGGGGCAGCGGGATGCGATGGGGCCCACGGATGGGTCCCAGCCCCACACCCTGCCCCACACCCTGCCCCATAGGTACTACTACAACAAGCGCATCCTGCACAAGACCAAAGGCAAGCGCTTCACCTACAAGTTCAACTTCAACAAGCTGGTGCTGGTCAATTACCCCTTCATCGACGTGGGGCTCGCAGGTACCACTAGGGGGCGTGGTCTCTGCCGGGGGGCGTGGCCTCCGCTGGGGGCGTGGCCCCCGCTGTAGCCACGCCCCCTCTGCTCCTAACCGCGCTTTACCGCCCCCTACAGGCCCGCCGCTGCCGCAGAGCGCGCCCCCGCTGCCCTCGCTCGGAGGAGGGGGGGGCGGCGGTGGGGGAGGGGGCACCCCCCATTTTTGCTTCCCCCCCCTCCCCCCGTCCCTTGCCGGCCCCTCCCCCACCGCATCTGAGGGGCTCTCCCCTCCCCTCCCCCCCCATGCTCCGGAAGCCGCCCTCGCGCCCCCCCCTTCCTCTTCCTCCTCCTCCTCCTCCTCCTCCTCCTTCTCGCGCCGCCTCGGCTCCCTCAGCGACGGCTCCGAGCTCGAGGAGTCGGGAGGGGGGGGAGGAGGGGGCGGGGAGCCCCTCCCCCCGTTACCCCCTCCCCCTCTCCCCCCTCTTTCGGCAGGGGGAGGGGGCAGCTTCCGACCCCTCCCCCCGCACCCCCACCCCCCGCGCTTGACCCCGGACGCCCTTTTCCGCCTTTACACCCCCCCTCCCCACCCCCCCCCGCCCCCACCGCCGCCTTTCGCGGGGTCCCCGTTACCGGCTGGTGGGGGAGGGGGAGGAGGAGGAGGAAGTGGTGGGGGGGGAGGGGCCGGGGGTCTCCTCCCCCCTCCCCCGTTGTCCCCAGCGTTGCCTTTGACCCCTCCGCACGTCGGTTTCGTCCCCTCCCCCACCCTGAGCCCCCTGTTCCCCGCGGGGGGGGGGGGCTCCCACTTCTCGTTCAGCCCCGAGGACCTGCAGAGGGCGCTGGCGGCGCAGACCCGCAGCGTCTACAGCTACCACCTGAGCCCCCGCGCCTTCCTGCCCTGCCCGGGGCTGCTGCTGCCCCACCCCCACCCGCCCGCCCCTCCCCCACACCCCCACCCCCCCGCTTCCGAACCCCCTTTCCCCTTCAAACTCCAACCCCCACCGCCGGGAAGGCGGCAGCGGGATAAAGGCCGGGATGCGCCGCCCCCCCCTCCATCATCAGCAGCATCACCCCGAAGTGGGGGGGGTGGGGGGGGGACCCCGACGCAGGAGCCCCCCCATATCAAAGTGGAGGCGGTGTCGGAGGAGGAGACGGTGGAGGTGACGGATGTGAGCGAGGAGGAGGAGGAGGAGGAGGATGAAGTCTTCAAACCCCCCCCATCCCGCAATGAGGAGGAGGAGGAGGGAATTGGGGGGGTGGGGGGAGGGGGCCGGGCCCTGCCCCCTTCTCCCCCCCTCCCCCCCCAGCCCTGTGTCCCCCTGAAGCTGCGCTTTAAACGGCGCTGGAGCGAGGAGCGGAGGAGGGGGGGAGGGGAAGGGGAAAGGGAGGAAGGGGGGGCCCTCCCCCCCCATTCCAATGAGGATAAGAAAGGGAAAGGGGGGACCCCAAATTTAGGAGGGGGGGGCAGGAGGGTGAGCACCGACCTGCAGCGCGCCACGGCCCAGCTCTCCCTGGACTCATAATGGGGGGGGGGGGGGCGGGGTGAATTTGGGGAAAGGGGGGGTCCCCATTGCCTTAACTTGGGGCTCCGCACCGGATTTCCATTCCCCTCCCCCAGTTTGGGGTGCCCCCCCCACTCCCCCCCAACTTGGAGCTGGTTGGAAGTTGGGGGATGCCCCCCCCTTAAAGAGAGGGGGGAAAAAGGGGGGGTTCAGCAGGGTTCTATGCAGGGAATGGGGCCCCCCCATAGGGTTTTTAGGGGGTTTCCCCTCTTTCTTGTTGTTTTACACATCCCTCCCCCCGTTAGGTGGCACTTTTTTGGGGGGGGGGGCGGGGGGGTACAAAACACCCCCAAAACGGGTGAGAACCACCCAAAACCGGGCGGGACCTCCCCCAAAATCAGCGGGAACAACCCCAAAACGGGTGGGAACAAGCCCAAACGGGCAGGAACCCCCCCCCCGAAACAGGCGGGGCATCCCCGAAACGGGCAGGAATGGGTTGGAACGGCTCGGAACGGGCAGGAACGCCCCCAAAACGGGAGGGGGGGAGGGGAATCCCTTAAAACGGGGGGGGGAGGAGCGGGGTCTGCCCCAGGGACCGTTCCGGACGCCCCAAACGGGGGGGATCCCCTCAGAAACGGGCTCTTAAGCACAACTTGGGTGGGGTTTTTTGACGCCCCCCCGCCCCCCCAAATACCCGGGGGGGGGCGGGGCCGCCGGAACAGCCCCTCCCCCACCCCGTTTTGGGGGGGTTCCCTGTAGAAACGGCTTCATGTAACCAAAAACGGGGGGGGGAGGGGGTGGGGGGAAGGTGCGGGGGGGGTCATTAAGTGCCTGTTGATGAACTGTCTGTGGGGAAGGGGGGGGATGGGCCTTACCTGCCCCCAGCACCCCAAAACGGGGGGTAGGGGGGGCGGGGGAGGGTCCCCAATGAACACAACCTCCCATCCCCCACCCGCGGGGTGTTGGGGGGGGACACCCCCCCCTCTTTATACCCCGGGTGGGAGAGGGGAGGATAAAGGGGGGATGGGGGAGGGGGGGGTCTATCCGAAGCCTTATTGACACCGATGTAAATAGTGGGGGGGGGGGATGGGGAGGGCGGGAGGGGTCACCCTAAGAATGTATAAAAAGGAAAATTAACCAATAAATAAAGATTTCACAGGAAATCGAGGGCTTTCCCCATCCCCTGTCTGCACTTCCGGGTTGGATGCTCCCGTTGCTTAGCAACGGCGTCTCGGCGTACCGCTTCCCGCGCGTTGCCAGGCGACGGCCAATGAGCTTCCAGCGCGCTGCGCTGCCTCCTCCCCGCCTCGTTCTGGCGAGCGTTGCCCCGGCAACAGCCAATCAGCTCTGAGCTCCCCCATTCGTGTCCCCGTTTAACCCCGTCCCGGCTGCCCCCCATGGGGCTGAATACGGGGCTTTTCCTTGCCCCTCCCCGCCATTGTCCCCCCCTTTTTCCCACCCCCATTCCCTATTCCTGCCATTTCTCCCCCTCTCCCTCCATCCCTCCCCCATTTCTCATCCCAGCATCATTACACCCCCCCTTATTTACATGCAATTAGCATAGCACCTGCTTTAATGACATGCAGTTTATGTAGGACTGACCTTATTTACACGTGACTAACATAGACCTTTCCTTATTTACATGTTATTAATGTAGGGCCTACTTAATTTGTGGCCTTTTAGTGCAGGCCCTGCTCTATTTACATGTCATTAGCGTTAGGGCCTACTTTATTTATGTTTTATTGTAGGCCACACGTTATCTATGCATTGTTCTGAGATGCTGATATTGCAGGGGGAACGAGTTTATTAACACAAGGCCTGCTTTGCATCTCATTAACATGGGCACAACCTCATTTACATGTAATTAACACAGGACCTGCTTTATTTCTATAGGACCTACTCTATTCCCCTTCCAGGGCCTCAGCCTTGAGGCCACCCCCCCCATTGGAAGCCCCGCCTCCTGCACCCCATCCAATAGGAGCATCTGATGAAACCAAGGCTCAGGGGTGGGGCTTGCTCTGGTCACGCCCTTCCTCGTCGCTGGTGGGCGAGGCTAAGGGGAGGGGGCGGGGCAAGCCCAGGGCATGGGTAGCCTGGGACCAGCGGTTCAGCCAATGGGAGAAGGGGATGTTGCTGGGGGAGGCAGCTGGTATCCACTGAGCCGGCTGCTCCCACCTATGAGAGATGAAGGAAGGGGGAGGGCCGATGTGACGTCACCCACGGGGGGGCGTGGCCTGTTACAGACCCACCCTCGCCGGCTCACCATTGGCTGACGATGTCCTGGAGGTGGGGCCAGTTTTCGATGCGCTGCCGGACGTGCTTGGACACCATTTGCAGCTGGGGGAGGAGCTCAGCGATGGCCACGCCCACCGCGGGTCCTGCGAAGGGGGCTGGGTCAGAGCCAGCCACACCCTCATCCCCCCACCTCCCCCCTTTACTCACCGCGGGGTGGGCGGGGCTTAACCGGCCCCGCCCCTTGCGCTGACCACGCCCCCCGCAGCTGCTCCAGCTCCCCCCGCAGCTGCTCCAGCTCCTCCCGCAGCGCTGCCGCTCGCAACAGCGCCCCCTGTGGGGGCTGAGGCAAAAACACCCCCTGAGCCCCTCCCCCTTTATGGCTCCTCCCCCTTTATGGCCCCTCCCCCTTTATGGTTCCTCCCCTGATTTCCCATCCCCTTTATGGCCTTTCCCCCCTTTATGGCCCCTCCCCCTTTATGACCCCTCCCCCATCTCCCCTCCCCCTCTATGGCCCCTCCTCCCTTTATGACCCCTCCCTCCATTTCTCCTCCCCCCTTTATGGCCCCTCCCCCATTTCCCTCTGCCTTTTTTGGTCCCTCCCACAAATCCCCCTCTCCCTTTATGGCCTCCCCCTTCCCCTCCCCCTTTATGGCCCCTCCCCTCATTGCCCCTCCCCCACCTCACTCTCTGCCATCCCTAGGGCACGTCTGATTGGCTGCAAGGGGCTGTAGGCGGGGCTAAAGGGAAAAAGGAGGCGTCAGCACAGCCCTTCCCCCCCCCTTCCCTCCCCCCCCCATTCACTCACCTCTGGGGGAGGGGCACCCTCTCCTTTCCCAGCATGCTCAGCGCTTCCAGCAGCCGCTGCCCCTCCCCCTGCAGCCCTGGCGGGGGCCGCACAGCCCCTAGGACCTGAAAGGGGCGTGGCCAAAGGGGTGAGGCTCCGCCTCCTCTCCCTTAAGCCCCGCCCCCTCCCCCTCTCCCCTTTGCTCACCTGGGCCTGCAGGGGCCGCAGCTGCGCCCGCAGCTTCCCATTGGCTGCAGCCAAAGCCCGGAGCTGGATCCAGCGATGGGACTGGAAGGGATGGAGAGGGGGGGGGAGGGACCCAAATCCCCCCCATGACCCCCAAATCCCTTAAATATCGCCCCAAATTCCCCCCCCAAGCATCTCCCTTAACCCCAAACCCAACCAGAACCCCTAAAGCCCCAAACTCCTCCATAGCATCCCCTATAGATCCCAAATCCCCCTCCAGAACCCCCAAATATCCCTCATTCCCCCCAAAAAGCACCACTGGGACCCTTATGGGTCCCCCCCCATCCCCATATCCCCCCATTGGCACCCACCAGCCGCTGCTTCCCCTCCTGCAGCCGCCTCTTCAATGGCCCCAGGGCAGCCTCTGCGGGCTCTATGGGGCTGCCCCATAGATCCCGGCTCTGCTGGAGCAGGGCCCCCCGAGCCCCCGAGAGCCCTGCGGCCTCCAGCATCAACCTGGGGGGGGCAAAGGGGTCCAGAACCCATTGAAAGGGGGGTTTTGGGACCCCAAAAAGGATGCAGGGACTGTGGGGGGGGGTCCCTAAAGGGAGGAAAAGGTCATGGGTGGAACCCAGGGGAAGTTTTGGGATGAAAAGCGGGTGTTTTGGAGTGCAGGGGTGCGTTTTGGGGTGCCAGGGGGTGTTTTGGGGTGCAAAGGAGGTGTTTTGGGGTGCAGGGGTGCGTTTTGGGGTGCCAGGGGGTGTTTTGAGGTGCAAGGAGGTGTTTTGGGGTGCAGGGGTGTGTTTTGGGTGCAGAGGTTTTTGGGTGCAAAGAAGTTTTGGGGCACAGGGGGGTGTTTTGGGGTGCAGGGGGTGTGTTTTGGGGTGCAGAGGGGGTGTTTTGTGGTGCAGAGGGGTGTTTTGGGGTGCAGGGGGGTGTTTTGAGGTGCAGGGGGTGTCGGGTGTGTAGAGGGGGTGCTGAGGGGCTGTTTTGAGGTGAAGGGTGTTTCAGGGTGTAAGGGGGTGTTTTGGGGTGCAGGGGGTGTGTTTGGGGTGTAAAGTGGGTGTTTTGGGTGCAGGGGGGTGTTTTGGGGTGCAGGTGTTTTGGGGTGCAGGGGGTGTTTTGGGGTGTAGAGGGGTGTTTTGGGGTGCAGGGGCTGTTTTGAGGTGCAGGGGGGGGGGGGGGATGGGGGGGTGTTTTAGGGGTGCAGGGCTGTTTTGAGGTCAGGGGGGTGTTTTGGGTGCAGGGGGTGTTTTCGGTACAGGGGGTGTTTTTGATCAAAGTGTTTGGGGCAACAGGGGGTGTTTTGAGGTGCAGGGGGTGTTTTGGGGTGCAGGGGGGTGTTTTGGGTCACAGGAGCAGTTGTAAGCAGGGGGTGTTTTGGGTGCGGGGGGTGTTTTGAGGTGCAGGGGGGTGTTTTAGGGTGCAGGGGGTGTTTTGGGTGCAGGGTGTTTTGGGGTGCAGGGGAGTGTTTTGGGGTCAGGGGCTGTTTTGAGGTCCAGGTGTTTTGGGGTGCAGGGAGTGTTTTGGGAGCAGGGGGTGTTTTGGGGTGCAGAGATTTTGAGTGCAGGGGTTTGAGGCAGGGGGTGTTGTTTTGAGGGTGCAGGGGGTGTTTTGGGGTGCAGGGGGTGTTTTGGGGTGCAGAGGGGGTGTTTTGGGGTGCAGGGGGTGTTTTGGGGTGCAGGGGGGGTGTTTTGGGGTGCAGAGGGGGTGTTTTGGGGTGCAGGGGGTGTTTTGGGGTGCAGAGGGGGTGTTTTGGGGTGCAGGGGGTGTTTTGGGGTGCAGGGGGGTGTTTTGGGGTGCAGGGGGTGTTTTGGGGTGCAGAGGGGGTGTTTTGGGGTGCAGGGGGTGTTTTGAGGTGCAGGGGGTGTTTTGGGGTGCAGGGGGTGTTTTGGGGTGCAGGGGGTGTTTTGGGGTGCAGGGGGTGTTTTGGGGTGCAGGGGGGGTGTTTTGGGGTGCAGGGGGGGTGTTTTGGGGTGCAGGGGGTGTTTTGAGGTGCAGGGGGGGTGTTTTGAGGTGCAGGGGGTGTTTTGGGGTGCAGGGGGTGTTTTGGGGCGCAGGGGGGGTGTTTTGGGGTGCAGGTTTTACCTGGCAGCCTCCTGGGCTCGGGGGTCCCCCTCCAGGTGCAGCTGGATCTCCCCCTGCAGCTGCAGCAGCCGGAGCCTCAGGGTGGGCAAACGGGAGGCCAAGGGGGGGACGAGGTCCCAGAGCCCCCCCACATCCACCCAGCAGTCCTGGGGGGGGGCAAAGGGGGGGACCCCACATCAACGGGGAGCTCCAAGCCCTAAAGCACCCCCTCATGTGCCCCTCAAGCCCCCCCATTCACCTGGATGAGGCTCTTCATAGCGGGCTGAGCATCAGGGTCAGGGCTGATTTTGGGGTACCCCTTCCTGCAATGGAATAATGGGGGGGGGGTTTGGGTTCTTCCCTAAGCTCCACCCCCTCCCAAAGTCCCATCTCTCTTAAGCCCCTCCCCTTTCCTAAGCCCCTCCCCTCACCGCAGCCTCTCCAGGGCCTCCAGCACCTCCTCCGGGCTGTGTTGGTTCAGCAGCGCCTGTGGGGGGGCGATCAGGTCACGTGGGGGGGAGTCACATGACTGCTAGGATCAGCCTCCCTCCCCCCACCCCGAGCACCCACCTTGGCCTCCTGCAGCCAGAGCATGGTGAGCTCCTGCGGCCTATGGGGGGCAATGGGAAGGGCAGAGAGGGCGGGGCTTGCCCTGAAGGGGGCGGGGCTTATGGAAGCGGTGGGCGGGGTTTACCTCGACAAGGGGCGGAGCTCCAGCAGCTCCTCCAGTGCCTCCTCCCGCAGCCTGCACACGGCCTGGGGAAAGGGGGGAGTGGCCACGCTCAGACCACGCCCCCTTCCACAAGCCCCGCCTCCTTTCCAATAAGCCCCACCCCTTCTTACCGCCACTTTCATCTTTATTCCCGGCTTTGGCTGTGGGTTCCTGGAAGTGCAGAGCATCATGGGAATGCTGCCCCCCAGCCTCCCACCAAAGCTCCGCCCCCTCCTCGCTTACCGGTGGGCGGAGCTTATCTGGCCACGCCCCTTCCGCAGCTGCAGCCCCTCCCGCACTGCCTCTGCCCCCAGGGCCCGAAGCTCCGCCCCTCGGCGGCGCTCCGCCCCCTGGCGGCGAAGCTCCGCCCCCAGCGCCTCCTCTATAAGGCAATAAAGGGGGCAGAGTCTCAGGTCAGGTGACCGGTAGCCCCGCCCCTTCCCTCGCCCCCCACCCCAATCAACTCACCCAGCTCCAGCACCACTGCCCCGGCCTCTCCCACGGCCCCGCCCACCACGTCAAGCTCCGCCCTCAGCTGCTTCAAGGCCACGCCCACTTCCATATAAGGCATGCTTGAGTCCACCCCATGCTGGGGAGAGACACCAGAGGTCACCTGAGGACACCCCCCCCCATCCTTAAGCCCCTTTTTCTCCCTCCCCCACCCCCCAAATTGTGCCCCCCCCAAACACCCACCCCCCCCATCCCTTTGGGACCCCCCCAAAACCCCACAGAGCCCCCCCAAAAACCCTGCTCCCCCCCCCAAACCTGTATGTCCTTGAGGTGCCGGTACCTGAGCCCCGAGTTAAGGAGCAAACGGGGGGGGGGTTAAAGGAGGATTTGGGGGGGGTCTGGGGATCGTGGGAGGGAATTGGGGGTTCCTGGGGATCCCAATGGGATTTGGAGGGGTCCTAAAGGAATGTGGGGCTCCCGTGCATGGATCTGGGAGAGGAAAAGGGGTTTGGGGGGGGTCATAAAGGGGAATTGGGGGGTGCTGGGATCCCAATGGAATTTGGGGGGAGGGGGCCTAACAGGCAAAGGGGTTTGGGGGGGCCCTGAGGGGTTTTGGAGGCTCCTCAATGATCTTGGGGCTCCCCAAAGGGGGCGTTTTGGGGGTCGTCCCCCCCCATGTTGGGGTGCAGCGGATACCACAGCAGGTTCCCTTTGATCTTCTTCACGTTCCTATAGGAACAAACCCCGCCCATGGGTTTGGGGGACCCTCCAGATGTTGGGGTTTTCCCCCTCTCCCCCCCTCCCCCCGATGTTGGGGTCCCCTCCTCACCGCGGGTGCCGCACGTGACCGATGACGTAATCCCAGATGGGGGCACAGGGCCCCATGCACAGCCTGGGGGGGGGGAGGGGAGACAAAGAGAGGGGGTCAGGAGCGCCCCAACCCCCCTCCCCCCCCAGGGACCCCAACCCCCCCCTCGTTCGGGGACCCCAAAAGCCCCCATTGGGGGTCCGGGGGGGCTCCAACCTGCGCAGGGCGGGCTCGGAGGGGAGGGCGCTGGGGGGCGGCTTCAGCTCGGTGCGGATCCAGCGGCCCAGCTCCGCCATGATGGGCGAAATTGGCGCGCTTCGGAGCGCCGCACGGTATCACGGGAGTTGTAGTAGAGCCCGGCCCCTGTGTTAATGGTGCTCTATGGGAGCCGCAAGGCATGATGGGAGTGGTAGTCCCGGCTGGTCGCAGCCATAATGGTGCTCTATGGGAGCCGCAAGGCATGATGGGAGTTGTAGTCCCGGCTGGTCGCAGCCATAATGGTGCTCTATGGGAGCCGCAAGGCATGATGGGAGTTGTAGTCCCGGCTGGTCGCAGCCATAATGGCGCTCTATGGGAGCCGCAAAGCATGATGGGAGTTGTAGTCCCGGCTGGTCGCAGCCATGACGGTTGCTCTCTGGGTGCCGCGTGGCATGATGGGAGTTGTAGTTCCGGCTGGGCAACGCCTTAATGCTGCTTTATGTGCGCCGCGAGGTATGATGGGAGATGTAGTCCCGGCTGGGCGCCGCCATGGTGGTGCTCTATGGGTGCCGCTTTGCATAATGGGAGTTGTAGTCCCCTCCTGGGCATAGCCATAATGGGTCTCTATGGGCAGCGTGGGGCATGATGGGAGTTGTAGTCCTAACTGGGCGACGCCATAACAGGGCTGTATGGGTGCCGCGTTGCATGATCAGAGTTGTAGTCCCTATAGTCTATGGGTCTCTATGGGTCTCTATGGGTCTCTATGGGTCCCTGCAGGGTCTCACCATGGAGGGAGGGGGTCTCCTTACAAGTCCCTTGGATGGGGGCGCAGCAACAGCAGCTCCAGTACCAGGATGTGGGGAGGCTGTGGGGAACAGAGCTCGAGACCCCCATTGCCCCCTTTACCCCATTGCCCCCTTTACCCCACTGCCCCCTTTACACCCATTGCCCCCCATATAAAGCCATGGAGCCAGCAATGGGTGTGAACCTGTCCTTGCCCCATAGGGTTCTATAGGGGTCCATAGGGGTCCCATCGCCTTCCTCCCACCCCCCCCAGGCAACGCGCGCCCTGTTCCTGTCGCCCCGCCCACTTCCACGACAGCCAATCAGCACCTGGCTCCACCCACTGTGCCTCGCAGCCAATCAGAGCACAGGGCGGGAGAGTAGCCCCTCCGCTCTCCTCAGCTGACTCCGCCCCCTGTAACGGCCGCAGGCGCGAGGAGAGGTGGGGCGGGGGGGGTCAATGGGGCCTATGGGGGGTAATGGGGGTAATGGGGGAAATGGGGCCAATGTGGGGGTAATGGGGTAATGGAGGTAATGGGGGGCAATGGAGTAATGGGGGTAATGGGGTAATGGGGACAATGGCAGTAATGGGGGAAATGGGGCCAATGGAGGGGTAATGGAGGCAATGGGGCCAATGTGGGGGTAATGGGGTCAATGGGTTTAATGAGGGCAATGGGGACAATGGGGGTAATGGGGAGCAATGGGGGGGTAATGGGGACAATGGGGTAATGGGGACAATGGGGACAATGGCAGTAATGGGGGAAATGGGGCCAATGGAGGGGTAATGGAGGCAATGGGGCCAATGTGGGGGTAATGGGGTCAATGGGTTTAATGAGGGCAATGGGGACAATGGGGGTAATGGGGAGCAATGGGGGGTAATGGGGCCAATGTGGGGGTAATGGGGGCAATGGGGTTAATGGGGACAATGGCAGTAATGGGGGAAATGGGGCCAATGGAGGGGTAATGGGGTTAATGGGGGCAATGGGGTTAATGGGGGAAATGGGGGCAATGGCAGTAACGGGGCCAATGTGGGGGCAATGGGGGTAATGGAGGTAATGGGGCCAATGTGGGGGTAATGGAGGCAATGGAGGTAATGGGGCTAATGTGGGATTAATGGGGGCAATGGGAGTAATGGGGGGTAATGGAGGCAATGGGGGGTAATGGGGGCAGTCGGGTGCAATGGGGCCAATGTGGGGGTAATGGGGGCAATGGGAGTAATGGGGGGCAATGGGAACAATGGGGCAATGTGGGGTTAATGGCGGCAATGGGAGTAATGGGGTCAATGGGGGAATAGGGGCAATGAGGGGCAATGGGGGCAATTGGGGGTAATGGGGAAAATGGGGGCAATGGCAGTAATGGGGGCAATGTGGGGGTAATGGGGGCAGTGGGAGTAATGGGGGGCAATGTGGACAGTCGGGGTAATGGGGGGTAATGGGGCCAATGTGGGGGTAATGGGGGCAATGGAGGGGTAATGGAGACAATGGGGCCAATGTGGGGCTAATGGGGTCAATGGGGGTAATGGGGACAATGGCGGTAATGGGGGCAATGGCAGTAATGGGGGAAATGGGGCCAATGGAGGGGTAATGGAGGCAATGGGGTTAATGGGGGCAATGGCAGTAATGGGGTCAGTGTGGGGGCAATGGGGGTAATGGAGGTAACGGGGGCAATGGGGCCAATGCGGGGGTAATGGGGGCAATGGGAGTAATGGGGGCAATGGGAACAATGGGGGCAATGTGGGGTTAATAAGGGCAATGGGAGTAATGGGGGGATGGGGGCAATGTGGGGTTAATAAAGGCAATGGGAGTAATGGGGGAATGGGGGCAATGTGGGGTTAATAAGGGCAATGGGGGGAATGGGGGCAATGGGGGTAATGGGGCAATCGGGGGTAATGGGGAAAATGGGGCCAATGTTGGGGCAATGGCAGTAGTGGGGGGTAATGGGGACAGTCGGGGTAATGGAGTCAATGGGGTAATGGCAGTAATGGGGGCAATGGGGGCAATGTGGGGTTAATCGGGCAATGGGAGTAATGGGGGGCAATGGGGCCAATGTGGGGGTAATGGGGGCAATGGGGCCAATGTGGGAGTAATGGGGGCAATGGGGCCAATGTGGGGGTAATGGGGGCAATGGAAGTAATGGAGGCAATGGGGGTAAAGGGGCCAATGTGGTGTTAATGGGGGCAATGGGAGTAATGGGGGGCAACGGGGACAGTCGGGGTAACGGGGGGTAATGGGGCCAATGTGGGGGTAATGGGGGGCAATGGGAGTAATGGGGGATAATGGGGGAAATGGGGGCAATGTGGGGGTAATGGGGGCAATGCGGGGTAATGGGGCAATGGGGGTAATGGGGGCAATGGAGACAATGGGGGTGATGGGAGGTAATGGGGCAATGAAGGGCAATGTGAGCAATGGGGGCAATGGGAGTAATGGATCTATGGGGGGCAATGGGGATCCTGGGCTCTCCATGGGGCGAACTGCAGCTCTTTGGGGGATCAAACGTCACAATTCCATTTCCTCACCCCCATTTCCTCCCTTTTTTCTCTCATTTCCCCCATTCCCTCTGCATTTCTCTCATTTCCCCCCCATTTCCCCCCATTCCTGAGATTTCTTCCCATTTCCCTCCCGTTTCCTCCTGATTTCCCCCATTTCCTTCCCATTTCTCATTTCCCATTTCCCCCACTTCCCCCCCTTTCTCCCCTATTTCCTCCCCATTTCCCCTCCTTTTCCCCCATTCCCATTTCCCACCCATTTCTCCCCCATTTCCCACCATTGCCTCCCCATTTCCACTCCTTTTCCCCTCATTTCCCACAATTCCCATTTCCCACCTATTTCTCCCCATTTCCCCTTTTCCCCATTCCCCTCTTTTCTCCCCCTTTCCCCCCCTCTTTCCACCATTCCCTCCCCATTTCCCGCCATTTCCTCCCCATTTCCTCCATTTCTCCTCCTTTCATCCCCATTTCCCACCATTTCCTCCCCATTCCCCCTCTTTTCTCCCCCCTTTCCCCCTTCCCCCATTTCCTCTCCTTTCCCCCCCTTCCCCCCATTTCCCCCCATTCCCACCCCATTTCCTGACATTTCCTTCCCATTTCCCCTCTTTTCTCCCCCATTTCCCCCCTTTCCCCTCCTTTTCCCACAACTGCCTATTTCTCACCATTTCCTCCCCATTTCCCGCCATTCCCACCCCATTTCCCACCATTTCCTCCCCATTTCCCCCCATTTTCCCTCCTTTCCTCCCCATTTCCCTCCTTTCTCCTCTCCCCCCTTTTCCCATTTCCCACCATTCCATCCCCCATTTCCCACCATTCCCTCCCCATTTCCCGCCATTTCCTCCCCATTTCCCCCCATTTTCCCTCCTTTCCTCCCCATTTCCCTCCTTTCTCCTATTTCCCCCCCCTTTCCCCCCATTTCCCACCATTCCCTCCCCATTTCCCACCATTCCCTCCCCATTTCCCGCCATTTCCTCCCCATTTCCCCCCATTTTCCCTCCTTTCCTCCCCATTTCCCTCCTTTCTCCTATTTCCCCCCCCTTTCCCCCATTTCCCACCATTCCCTCCCCATTTCCCACCATTCCCTCCCCATTTCCCGCCATTTCCTCCCCATTTCCCCCCATTTTCCCTCCTTTCCTCCCCATTTCCCTCCGTTCTCCTATTTCCCCCCCTTTCCCCTCATTTCCCACCATTCCCTCCCCATTTCCCGCCATTCCCACCCCATTTCCACCCTTTCCTCCATTTCCCCCCATTTTCCCTCCTTTCCTCCCCATTTCCCTCCTTTCTCCTATTTCCCCCCCTTTCCCCCCATTTCCCACCATTCCCTCCCCATTTCCCACCATTCCCTCCCCCATTTCCCCCATTTCCTCCCCATTTCCCCCCATTTTCCCTCCTTTCCCCCCATTTTCCCCCTTTCTCCTATTTCCCCCCCCCCATTTCCCGCCATTTCCTCCCCATTTCCCCCATTTCTCCTCCTTTCCTCCCCATTTCCCGCCATTTCCTCCCCATTTCCCCCATTTCTCCTCCTTTCCTCCCCATTTCCCCCTCTTTTCCTCCCCATTTCCCGCCATTCCCCCCCATTTCCCGCCATCCCCCCCCCCCGCAGGCTGTTCCCATGAGCCGCCACCGCTCCGCTCCCCCCCCCGCTCCGCCCCTCCCCCGCCGCCGCCTCCGCACGAGGCGGGAACTGAACGCGACCAAACTGGGGCGGGCGCGGGGGGGGCCGGGGGGGGGGGGCGGGGCCCGGGCCCGATCCTGGCCCCTGCGCGCCCCCCGCAGCCCCCTCCCCCCCCCGCGTCACGTGGTCATCACCCAGCACCGCCTCCTGCCCCACCCCCGCGGGCTCTTCGCCCGCGAGGTCACTTCGGGTCACGTGGGGCGGGGCCTCCGCACCCCGCCCACTATGGGGGTGCCCCATAACTTGGGGGGCTCCATAGGGGTGACCCAGACCTCGCCCCATAACTTGGGGGGCTCCACAGCGGGGGAGCCCCATAACCTCGGGGGGGGCACAAAGGGGGATCCCCAGACCCCACCCCATAACTTGGGGGGCACAAAGGGGGGCTCCATAGTGGGAACCCCGACCCCGCCCCATAACTTGGGGGGGACAAAGGGGGCGCACCATAACTTGGGGGGCTCCATAGGGGACCCCCAGAACCCGCCCCATAACTTGGGAGGCTCCATAGGGGACCCCCAGAACCCGCCCCATAACTTGGAGGGCACTAAGGGAGGCTCCAGAGAGGGGACCCAGACCCCGCCCCATAGCTTGGGGGGCACAAAGGGGGTGCCCCATAACTTGGGGGTCCCAATGCCCGCCCCCTATCACCCCATAGCGCGGGTCCTGGCCGCCCGCTTGGGGGCGCTCTTGCGCCGGGCCCCGGTGCTGCTGCGGGAGCGGAGCCGCTCGGTGCTGGGGGCGCTGCTCCGGGGGGGGGGGCACCGGGGCCTCCCCCCCCGGCTCTCGCCGCTGCTCCGGGGGCACCGGGGCTCGAACCCGGGACTTCAGGACCCGAACCCGGGACCTCGGGACCCGAACCGGGGACCTCGGGACCCGAACCCGGGACCTCAGGACCCGAACCCGGGACTTCGGGACCCGAACCGGGGACCTCGGGACCCGAACCCGGGACCTCGGGACCCGAATCGGGGACC